GTTATGTCAATTTGTGGTATAAATCCATTTTTTCATTCAACCAACCCCAATTCGTACTCATTATTATCAAAAGCAATTCAAAAAGATACTAAAAATCAAATTCATTGGTTAAACTCAAAAACTTGCATTAATATTTTAATTTACCAGCTCCTTCTCAATTAACATGTGAAGGTTACATTTTAGCTAAAATTTATTTTTTATTCATCCACAAGTCCTGTATTTTAACTACTTATTGTATTTTTCAATCTCAATCATATTTATATATGCTCTACATTCCCATATTCATAAAATTGATAAAATATATTAAATAAAGATATTACAAACAAAACATAGTCTTTTTTTTTTTTTTTTTTTTTTTTTAATTTTTATATAATTTTTTTTTTTTTTTAATTTATTTCAAAAATTTATATTTTTTTATTTTTTAATTAATCAAAAATAATACCCCTGATACAAATAATTTAAACTATATAAATCATGAAACAAAAATAAAATATATTATATATTATTATATATTTTTGTATAATATATTTACAAAAAAAAAAAAAAAAACAACAAAGTGGTTGAGGTTCATACTTTTAATATAATTTCTTTATTATAAAATTAATAATATATATGACACATTACAATGACATATAAAACATGATATATTTAAATATAAAAGAAAATAATATTTAATTTTAAAACTTATTAAGATTCGAATTCTTTCTATTTCAACACATAATAATATAAATATAAATAATAATATTAATAATACTGATAATAATGAAATAAAAATGATAATAATGTAAATAATAAAATAATATTAATAATCAATATTCCATGATCTTGATAATATAAATAATTCATCCAGAGACATATATAATAAAAATTTTAATATAAATAATAATCAACTTTATATGCATATTGTATATAACCATAATATAGATTTAGATATGCTTTATAATAATATCTATAACATTTTTAAAATAACAATAATAAAAATAATAATAATAATAATAAAAACAATAATAATAACAATAATGATATAAATTCAGATAATTTTTTTTATCTATCATTTAAACATTGTATTAATAGTTATAAATTTTTTAAAATGAAAAACAAAAATAAATTATTTTTATATGTGTTCAATCTTTATTTTTTATTTTTTTATTTTTTTATGTTTATTATTTATTTAATGTGACTTTTATAATCTAAAAAAAAAAAAAAGGTAAGGTTTATAGAGCAATTTTAGTTTCAACTAATTGGTTTGATGGAATAAAATTGTTTAAGGTTGGGCTTCTGACATATGAAAAATTTTTAAAGAATGCCTGTTGAGAACTGCTTAACATTGGAGATGAAGAGAAAGAGTCTCTTTGTTGATGTTCACCTTTTAGACCCTCACGATCAAAATTGCTAATGTCGTTAATTCCATTTGTGGTTGGAATGAATGGTGGCTTAATTTCTTTACTTTCCATTTTTCTCCATTGGACAGATTTAAAGAATGGATGTTGTTTGATTTCAGTGGCACCTTTTGAACCTAATCTTCTTTTTGGATCTTTGTGAAGGAGGCCATTGATGAAAGAACGAGCAGTTGTTGAAATGAATTTTGGATATTTTGGCTTTTCATTAATGATCTTATCCTGCATTAATGCTCTGTTCTTGTGTTCGAATGGAGTTGTACCGACCAACATATCAAAGCAGAGAACACCAATGGACCACCAATCTACAGCTTTACCATAGGCTTTGCTTTGAATCATTTCTGGTGCCATATATTCTAAAGTACCACAAAATGAACCTGATGATTCTTCGATAACATCTTCTTTAGCTAAACCAAAATCAGTTAATATACAATGACCATCAGAGTCGATTAAAATATTCTCTGGTTTTAAATCCCTGTGAATAATATTGTTGTTATGGAGATGCTCTAATGCCAAAATTAATTCGGCCAAATAGTATTTAACTTGATCTTCGGTGAGAATACCCTCACGTTTGAGATGACCAAACAATTGGCCACCGTTAACGAAATCCATTACTAAATAAAGTTTCTTTTCATTTTGGAAAGCATAGTGAAGGCTTACAATAAATGGATGGGAAATTCTCTTTAAAATATCCTTTTCTGAGATGGTATTAAATACACTCTTTCTTGCAATAATATGATTCTTTTTAATAATCTTTAGTGCAAAAATCTTTTGACTTTCATTATTTTGAACTTGAAAAACTTTACCAAATCCACCTTTGCCAACCAGTGCTAACTATTTTTTTATAAATAAAAAAAATATTAGTATAATAATATTAAAAAATTAATAAATATATAATATAATATTTACAATTGTAAACTTTGTTAAATCAATAGAGTTTGAAATTTTAAGTGAGTCTGTGCACTGGGAATTTAAAAGTGGTGTATAATCTTGGTTTGGGGTTGATACTGTAGATTCATTGTCACTGCCACTATTGCTAGATTCGTCTGAACTATGAACCTCTGGAGTTGTTGTTGTTGATGATAGTGATGATGATGAAATTGATAATAATGTAATATTTAAATTACTGATATTGGATTGTGCTGATGGTTGCTCTTGTGATAATGGTGATTCGTTATCTGTAGTTTCACATTCGCTGTTGTCGTTTTGATTTAAATCGTCTTCATCATTGTAACCGATTTTATTAACATTTATGTCAACTAAGGTGGTTGGTTTATGCTTTTGAACCATATCACCAATAGATTTGAATGGAGATTGATTTATATTATTGGCACTATTATTTAAAGATGATTTGTTTGGTTTTTCTTTAGTAATTACTAAAGAGGATTTTGTTGGGGTAGTGTTAACACTACCATTTGATTTTCTTAATGGAATAAAAGATGTTGATGATGTTGATGATGATGATGATGATGATCCACCGCCTTCATCTCTATCGTCAGCTTGTGAAATATCAAATTCTGTTGAAAATTTAATATTGGTACCAAACATTTTTATTATTTAATTATTTTTATTATTAATATTAAATTATTGTTATTATTGTTATTATTATTATAAAATGATTAACCAAAGAAAAAAAATATAATTGTTTATTATTTAAATAATTATTATTTGTTTAAAATTAAAATTTTGATGATTATTATGATTTGTTTTTAAAAAGAAAAATGGATCAGATAATTGCTTTTTTCTTTTTAGTTTGAAGTTTTGATAATATTTAATGTTGAATCGGTTACTCCGAAGACTTGTCAATATATTAAATTTATTAATTGTGGTTTATATATGTAATTTATCCAATAAAGTTTTTTAATTGGATAAATAAATATTTTTATTATTTATTTATTTATTAAAATATAGAGTTATAGAAATATAGAAAATTTTAAAAAAACTATTATTTTTTTAAAATTTATAAAATGTTGTGGGGTGTTGTGTTGAAATATGTGTGTTTGTATTTTGTTTTGTTTAGTTTGTTGTTTTTTTTTGTTTGAATGATATAATTAAAAATAACTAAATGTAAAATTTATAAACGAATAATTTTAAAAAAAAATAAAATTAAAAATATTTTAAAAATATTATAATATTATTTGTTTTTTTATAAAAATTTAAAAGATAACACACTAAAAATTATTTTAAAATTTAAAATTATCTTGTGAGTTGGGTGGTGTGTTAAATTTTAATATTAAAATATAAATTTGATTTTTCGATAACAATTTTTTAAAATTGTAAAAAAAGAATTTGTTATAAAAATTTTATATATATGTGTAGGTGAATATATTATTTGTTTATTGGGTATGTAGTGTGTTTTGTATTGAAATAAAAAAAATAAAAGTTATCACAACAAAGATTTTTTTTTTGTTTTATTTTTTTTTTTTTTTTCAAAAATTTTATAAAATTTTTTTTTTTTTAAAACTTTTAAAAAATATTTTTTTGATAATGCGTCTGTAGGTTGCCACACACCACTGGTCGCACGTTTTTTTTTGGTGATAATATTTATATTTATATTTTTTGTTTAAAAATAATAAAAAAAAAAAACTATTATTTGAAATTCCCCAGTAAACAAAAAACCAAATTAAACAAAAAAAAAAAAAAGTTATAATAATAAACAAATAAAAATCCAAAAATGAAAAATTTAAAATTAAAAAACTATATTTAAAAAATAAAATAATACTAAGTTATATAATATAATTATATTTTTTAAATATAGTTTTTTAGTTTTATTAAAAACCAATGATAATATTTTAATTAAAACTGAGTTAATAAAATAATGAAATATAAAAAAAATAAATTTAAAAATTAAATTTAAAAATAAAAATAACGTTTCTGTTTGTGTGTGCTTATATTAAAAAAAAATAAAAATAAAAATCTATTTTTGTTTATTTGTTATTTGTATTCTTGTTTAGTTTTTTTGTTTTTTTTTTTGTTTGTGTTTTGTGTTGTAATTAAAAATTGTTTTAGATAAATAAAAAAGGAATAATAAAAACAAAGAAATAAATATAAATGTACACATAAAACAACTACTTACTAAATATATTATAAAAAACAAAAATAAAATTTTTAAAGATTTTTTTGTTTAAATAATTTTATTTATATAAATAAAGTTTAATATCGAATAGATAATTTTTTTTTTTTTTTTAAATTTTTTCTCATCCATTTTCCTTTCCACCATTTGATTCCAACAACAAAACAACCAGGTCATAGATTTTTTAAATTTTATTTTTTTTTTTTAAAATTTTTTTTTTTTGATTTTTTTTTTGTGCCTATTTTACCAGTTGTTTAATTTTTTTTTTTGTTTAATAGCTTTTTTTTATTTTAAAATATAGTGTCAATTTAAACAAGTAGTATTCGTTGTTTCTATAATAATATATAAATAAATTTTATATATATAATATTTTAAAAAAGAAAAAAAAAAAAAAAAAAAATTAAAAAAATTAAAATTTTAAATTTAAATTTATTTATTTTTTTTTAAGTTTTTCATCTACGCAATCTTTTTTTCATATAATTTTTTTTAAATTGTAAATAATAAATAAATAGAATAAATTAAATTAAATTTTGATTTGTTTAAAAGAGGAAAAGAAAAAAAAGAAAGAAAAGAAGATATTTTAGAAATAAACATAATAAATATATATAGTTAGAAAAATGTTGTACGATTCTTCAGCTAACGGTACCCACACCGATTACCCAGATTGCGAGGGTAAAGTTCAACCAGATCCAGGTAACACAACATGGGTTTTATTATCAACAATTTTAGTACTTGGTATGATGCCAGCTCTTGCTTTCTTTGAAGCTGGTCTTTTAAGAAGTAAAAATACACTTTCAATTATCACACAAATTATGTCTGGTATTGTAATTTTAACTGTTATGTGGCAAGCTTTTGGTTATTCATTAACCTTTGGTCCAAGTCAAGTAAGTAAAGATAATATTATTAAAATCCGAACGAAAGGGTTCACATACATTTTACATTTAGGGAATCGGAAAAGAAAAAAATTACTAATTAAATTATTATTATTATTATTACAGAAAGGTATTATCGGTAATTTAGACCACGCTTTTTTAATTAATGTATCATATAGAAATTGTAATCAAAATGCCCCAACTATTCCATCAGCTGCTTACGCATTTTTCATGATGATGTTTGCAAATATTACACCATTATTAATGACCGGTGCCTACGCAGAAAGAGTCAAATTCAAGGCATTCATTGTTTTAACTATATTTTGGGAAATTTTAGTATTTTATCCAGTTGCTCATTGGATCTGGGGAGGTGGTTGGTTATCCAAATTCCCAGTTTTAGATTTTGCTGGTGGTATTGTTATTCACACTTCAGCTGGTGTTAGTGCTTTAGTTGTAGCTTTATATGTTGGTAAAAGAAAGGAATTCGAAAAATACGGAGGTGAATTCCCACCATCAAATCTTCCATTAGCTGTAATTGGTGCTGCTCTTTTATGGATGGGTTGGTTCGGTTTCAATGCTGGTTCTGCTTTAGCTGCTGGTGACGTTGCTGCCTCAGCTGTTGCTTCAACTCAAATTGGTGGTAGTTTTTCCGCTATTGTTTGGATCGCTTTATCATGGTTAAAGGGTAAACCAACTACTGTTTCAGCCATCAATGGTATTATTGCTGGTTTAGCAGGTATCACCCCAGCTTCAGGTTACATCAACAGTCAATACTCTATTGGTTTAGGTGTTGCATTAGGTCTTTCATCCTATTATTCAGTTGTCCTCTTAAAACACAAACTCCACATCGATGATGCCCTTGATGTAAGCTCTGTTCACGGTCTTACTGGTATTGTTGGTGCTTTAGCTATTGGTTTCTGCGCTGAATTAAGTATTAATGCTAAAGGTGCCAATGGTGCTTTCAATGGTAACCCAATTCAAATTGGTTATCAATTATTAGGTGTTTCCGTTGTTGGTGCCTGGGCTGCTCTTGTTACATACGGCCTTTTATTAGCTATCGACTATACCATCGGTGTTAAAATCGACGAAAACGAAGAAGAACTTGGTCTCGATTTAGTTGAACATGGTGAATTTGCTTATCACAATATCGCTCTCACTGGTAATGAAAACCACTATTCATCTATTAACTCTACTCAAGATTTCTTCAAATAAAATATACATAAATAAAAACTAAAAAAAAAAATAAAGAAAAAAAATAAATAAAAAAAAATTTTAAAATTAAAATATAACTCTTAAAATTTAAAAAATCATAGTTTTTACATTTTATTTTTCTATAGTTAAAAAAAGAAATCAATAAAGTTATTTTATTACTTTTTTTTTTAAAATTTTTTTGTGTTTTATTTTTTATTTTTTTTACATCATTTTGATTTTATTATTTACAATTATAATTTATTATTGTTTAGATTTTATAATTTTATAATTTAAAATTATATTTTAAAATCCTCTATTGGGTATTTATTATTTAATTTTTTGTTTTATTTTATTTTATTTTATTTTATTTTATTATATTATATTTTATTTATTAACCACAACATTGGTCACTATTTTCATAATATATGTCTTGTTTTTGTTGATACATTTGCTGTTGTTGCTGTTGTTGTTGTTGTTGATAAAAGTGTCTATACAAGTTTTGATTTTGTTGTTGAGTTTGTTTGTGTAGTTGTTGTTGTTGTTGAATTTGTTTGGTATATTCGCTATGTTTATTTGAAATTAGTTTTCTCGCTATCTCTAAAAACATTTGTTCTACACCTTCATTTTCTTTTGCCGATATCTCTACATATAATGCTTTAATTTCATCTGCATACATTTTTGCTGTTTCTCTTTTTACCTGTCTTTTATGTTGTAGATCCAATTTATTACCACATACTACCAAAACTAAAATATTAAATTAAATAAGTCATATTAATATTTGTTATTTTAATATTAATACTAATATTGGTATTAATATTATTATTATTATATTTTGTATTAATATATTACCTATATCCTCTTGTATATTTGATTTTAACTCTTCAACCCAATCTTTAACTGTATCAAATGATTTTTGGTGTGTTATATCAAACACCAATATCGCAACACATGCGCCTCTATAGTACATTGGTGTTAATGATCTAAATCGATCCTGTCCTGCTGTATCCCATATTAAATATTTTATTTTATTACCCTCTATATTTCTATAGTTTAATTTTGTTAAAAGTTAGTTAGTATATATATTATGATGAGTATAATAGCATTAATAATTACATTGTTTTTGTTAAAAATGATGCACCGATGGTTGGAGTTGGTCTTTTAGGGAATACACCTTCGGCGTATCTTATTGCCGCAGCAGTTTTACCAACGTCCGATGATCCCAATAATACAACTTTACTTTCCATTGATATTGCTGTTTCCATTTTTTTATTGACTGTTGTTATATATTTAATTTATAGTGTATACCCTCCAGTTTGATTAAAAAAATAAATTGAATATTATTAAGTTTTTTATAAATTGTTTTTAAGAGTGTAGGTGTGTGTTTATAAGTGGGGTTAATAATTGTTTTTTTTTTTTTTTTTTGTTTTTTTTTATTAATATATTTTTTTTTTTTTATTTTATTTTATTTTTTTTTTAACAAACAATAAGAAAACTATATTTAAAAATTATAATAAAAATATTTATTTAGATATCAAAATAATGAGAACAAAAAATATAAAAAATTATAAAAAAATAAAAAAATAAAATAAAAAAAAAAAAAAACAAAAAAAAAAAAAAAAATTTAATAAAATTTAAAAAAAAAAAAAAAAAAAAAAAAAAAATATTCCTGTCTGGTAAATTGACCATTTTATAAATAGGGGAAATGAGGAATTTTAATAAACCTTTTCCCTTATCTATTTCCAATTTCCCTTTTCCATTTTCCTTTTTTTTTTTTTTAAATTTTACAAAATCTTTTTTTTTTTGGGTTTTTTTTGTTTTTTTTGTTATTTGGGATATTTTTTTAAAAAGCCCATAAATGGATAAAAATAGATAAAAATAGATAATAAGTAATAATTTGCTATCAATCCCCCCACCTTATATTTTTGAAAAAAAAAAACAAAAAAAAAAATAATAAAAAAAAAAAAAAAAAAAAAAAGTATTAAATAATGGAGTTTCAGAATGACTATAATTATTTATTTATTTTAAAAGAAAAAAATGACCAAAAACGAAGTGAATGTTTTTTCTTTTATTTTTTTTATTTTTTTTTTATTTTATTTTTTAGACAATATTTCAAAAAATAATTTTTTTTTTTTTTTTCTAAATTTTTCTCTCATCACTTTTTTTAATTAGTATATTATCTATATATTGTTTATTTATTTATATATATAAAAATTTAATCAAAAAAGTGTCCTTTTTGTAATTTTATTTTATTTTTAGTCCGAGGTATGTGTGCAATGGTGAAAAAACCCTTGAAAATATACAAAATATTCATTTAAAAAAAAATTATACATTACATTTTTTTGTGTCAACTTTTGAAAAAAAAAAAAAAAAATAAAAAAAATAAAATAGTTTTTCTTTTTTTTTTTTTAATTTCAAATTTTTTTTATTATTTTAATTAAAAGAAAAAAAATATATAATAAAATTTAACAACAAACATATATATATAAATTAAAACCAATTTCAATCATATTTATTTATTTATTAAAACCTTTGTAAATTATAAAAACTTTTTTAGATTGTAAATAATCTACATATTTCAAATTAATTAATTTAATTAAATAATAATAAATAAAAATTTTTTAATAAAATTTTATTCAAACACACACACACAACAAATTAAGTCACGCACATAAAAATATAATAGTAATTATTTTTTTTAATTCAATAAAAATAATTATTTAAAATTATCTTTTTTTTTTTTTTTATTTTTTCCTCTTTCATTTTATTTCATTTTATTTTCTTTTCATATCTTCATTTTATAAAAAATTAATATATATTAACAGGTTATTTTTTTTTTTTTAAACCCGATAGAAATATTTTTTTTTTTTAACAAAACATGTATAATCCACCACCACCACAACCAGGTAAAAATAATTATTATAGACAACCATCATCAACACCAGGTGTATCTAATCCAGTACCTGATGCTAATAGATTTCTTCCACCACAAACAGGTAATCTCCCACCACCACCATCAAATCTTCCACCACCAGCCAATGCAGGTTCATACCCAAGTGCTCCACCACCACAAGCTGGTCAATATGGTATGCCACCACCACAAGCCGGCCAATATGGCATGCCACCACCACAAGCAGGTCCAGGTATTTCATTAGTTAAAGATCAACAAATTTCATTAAGCAAAGAAGATCCATATTTAAGAAAGATTACTGTAGGTTTAGGTTGGGATGTTAACCAACAACCAGGTGCTCCATTCGATTTAGATGCAGTTGTTTTTATGTTAGGTCCAAATGGTATGGTCCGTGCTCCACAAGATTTTATTTTTTATAACAATAAAACCTCAAGAGATGGTGCTGTATACCACCATGGTGATAATTTAACAGGTGCAGGAGATGGTGATGATGAAGTTGTATCAGTTAATCTTCAACAAGTTCCAATGGATGTCACCCGTTTGGTTTTTGCTGTCACTATTCATCAATCTGAACAAAGAAGACAAAACTTTAGTATGGTTCCAAGAGCTTTTATTAGAGTTGCTAATCAAGAAACCTCAAGAAATATTTGTAGATACGATTTAACTAATGAAGGTGGTATGAATACTGCTCTTATCGTTGGAGAGGTTTATCGTGAAGGCCCAGAATGGAAATTCATAGCAGTTGGTAAATCATTTAGTGGAGGTCTTGGTTTCTTGTGTCAAATTTTTGGGGTACAATCAAATTAATATTATCATCTACTGTAATAAAAAAAAAAAGGATAAATAATAATGGTTTATTATCATCTCTCAATTTATTAATGTTCAAAACCACAACACAATAACAAACACATAAATAACTTTTCTCCTTTTCTTTTTTTTTTTTTTTTTTTAAATTATAAATTAGAGAGATGAAAACCATTTTTTTTTTTTTATTATTATTTTTTTAATTTCAAGTTTTACTAATATTTATTTTAATTTTATAAATTATAGGTTAATGTTAGATAAATTATCTTAAATTATAAAATAAAATTAAATAAAAAAAAATAAAAAAAAATTTTAGTTTAGTTTTTTATTTTTATTTTCTATAAATCATTAAAATAGAGTTTAGTTTAAATAATAATAAAAATATTTTATCCTGTAGTATTTAGATATTAAACAAATATAAATAAATTATTAAAATTTGATTATAAATAGATTATTTTTGTTTATTTTTTTATTTTTTTTTATTTTTTTTTTTTTTAAAGATTCTTTTTTTATTATTATTCTGGACCTTCTGGAACAGATGAACCTTTCATACCTTTACCAGCTTTAATAATTTCATCAATAAGAAGGAGTTGTGAAGCAATAATTGGTGAAGATCTATAAACTTGTTTTAATACAGAGTATTGATCGAAAATACCTTCGTTGAATGGGTCCATTGGTTCACCTGAAATGACATCGAGACCAACAATGTGACCTTTGGCATATTCTTCTTGAAGTTTGATAATGGTATCCATTGGATCGAAGCCTGAGTTTTCGGCTAAAGTTTTTGGAACAACTAAAAGAGCATCAGCAAAAGCTTGAATACCTAATTTAGTACGACCTGTAACAGTTTCTTTGAATTTCATTAAATCGGCATATGCTGCAATTTGGAAAGCACCACCACCTGGGATAACACATTTATCTTCAATTGTATTTTTGGCTGCACGGAGACCATCACGGAGGGCATCTTTAATTTGTTCGATTGTATGTTTGTTTGGACCTTTAATTAAAATTGTACATGAGAATGGATTTTGAACACCTTCGACAAAAGTATATTTTTCTTCACCAAGAGTTTGTTCGTAAACTAAATCGGCGTGACCAAGACAATCTGGTGTTAAATCTTCGAGTGAGTTCATAGCTGTACCACCACATGCTAATGTAAGACGTTCCATATTTCTACGTTTGGCACGACGAACTGCAAAAATACCTGCTTTAGCAAACATATCTAAACAAATTGGATCAATACCTTTTTGATTAATAACAACAAAGTTCTTATCTGGTGTATTGCAAACGTGATTCTTTAATTCAATAATTTGTCTGCATTTTTGTGCAACTAATTTGTGTTCACCATCAATCATTCTTGATCTAGTTTGATGATCTTTATATAAAAAGTTTGCATTGACTTCGCTATAAACCAAAAATAAACTATTAGTATATATAATAATATGATTTGGAATTTAAATTATAAATAGTTCTTACGTTTTTTCATATTCCAATGAAACATTGCAAGTTAAAACAAAACAGTTTGTTAATCTCTTTGGCATATCTGGGTGACGAGCACCATGATCTAAAACTAAACCTTTAATTAATTGTGATTGACCATCAGTTCTGTGTTGCATTGTCATTGTTTCGACCATGAATAAATCGAGTGGTTTATCTTCTCTGTGAATTAATAAAAGTGCATCTACAACTTGTTCAGTTAATTGATCAGCTAATTCTGCAGTGAGTTTAGTTCTTAATGAGGTTCTTGCAATTGACATTAATAATTCTCTATCTAAGGTGTCTTCTTCTTTTTTAAATTCGTCTAAAAATTTGAGGACACGTTCTTTTGCTAATTCGAAACCTTCTGCAATAATTCTTGGATGAATATTTTCTGAAAGATAACGTTCTGATTGTTTTAATAATTCACCAATAGTGATAACATTTGTAGTTGTACCATCACCAGTAATATCGTCTTGAGCAGTAGCTGTACGTGCAATTAATGCTGCTGTTGGGTGTTGGATTTGCTATTAAAAATATATATATTAATATACATTTTCAAAAAATAGTTTTTTTATCGTTTCCTGTAGGAACTCGATTCCTATTATTATTATTATTATTTATTTCGCTATTGTTTAGTTTATTGTTATACATACCATTTCGTGTAATAAAACTTTTCCGTCTTTAGTTAATTTAATATCACCACCACCACTAACTAACATTTTAAGAGTACCACGTGGACCAAGATTACTCTTTAATACACTTTGTAAACCCTTACCTGCTGAAATATTGAGTAATAAGGCTTGACCTCTTCTTGAATCGCTGGGTGTACCAGCTTGTTTAATCATACTCAACATTTTTGGAGATTAATATGTTTATCTTTGATAATAGAAACCAATGACAAAAATAAAAAGATTTTAATGAAAATTTTTAAAAATTAAAAAAATAAAAAAAAAAAAAAGAAAAAAATTTAATTTTTTTTTTTTTTTTTTTTTGATCACCATATCATTATTTTTCACATAATTACAAAAAAATACAAAGAAAAAAAAAGATATATAAATTAATTTAAAAAATAGTAATATTATACTTTATAAAAAAATAATATTGTATTGTTTGTGTGGGGTGGGGGACTCCAACTTTTTTTTTTTAAAAAAAAAAAAACAGTTGTTTTTTAAAATATATCGTAAAAAGTAGTTTTATGAAAAGCTATGATACGAAATTAAATATAGAAACAATTGTGAAAAAAAAAAAAATTGTTTTAATACTCCATCCGATATATGACTTGATTGTAATATATGATTGTATTAAAAAATTGTATCCATTGAAATTCAAATGGTTTTTTTATTTTTTTTTTATATATCAAAATTATAATAATTTACAATTGATAGATATATAAAATTATTAATTAAAAAAATTAAAATCTGAAATAAAGATAAAAAAAAAAGTAAAAGCATATTTCATAAAATATATATCTAAACATGGAGATATATGACAGGATTAAAGTAAATTATTTGAATTGATGGTTTTTATTAATAATAAAATAAAATCATACAGCTTGGGTGTGCAGGAGTTTTACCTATATAAAATAAAATCAGTTTTATATATCTTAAAAATAAAGATATATAATCCCACAAGACTTGGATACAATTGATTTATAGTAAGATAGCCAATAGTATTGAATTTTGGTAACAGCTCCACAAATTAATGTTAATTATTTGAAAATATAAAAAAAAAACCCATAAATTAAAAGGAAAGTTTTTTAGCTATATTGAGAGATTCATTGATGTTTTTTGTGATTGATCAAGATATAATAAAAAAAAATTTTTATAAAACTTCACCAAAATTTTTAAAAAAAAAAAAATCTCAAAACTAATGGGGTGGGAATTTAGCGGGGTATTTTTGATATTTACATAAAATTAATGTTGATTTATTATTGCGTAGCGATGTAATATGGCACTTACATTTTTTATGAGTAAAAACCTTTTAAAAATATTAACATTTGTTGATGTTTATGTTTTTTTTTTTTAAATTTGATTTTTTTTACATTTTTTTTCCAAAATTTTTTATTTTTGTATATATATTTTTTTTTTGTATATTTTTTTTTATGTTTTATATAATATTTATTAATATGGTGTTAAATTCAACAATAAACAAATATGTAAATTTACAATAATCCTAAAAAATAAGATTCGTATATTTGAGTTAGTTTAATACATATTAATTTTAATTTTTTTTTATTATTTTTTTATTTTTTTTTTTATTTTTTTTTTTATAAATCTAAATTTTTAAAAAAAGAAAAAAGATATAAAAATAAATTAATTTTTTCATTTATCAAAAAAATATTTTCTTTTAAATAAATAAAGATTTATAAAAAAAATATAAAATAATATATTTATTTATTTTTAGGTATTCCTCCAAATAATTTCAAGGACAATAAAATAATAAAAAATAAATAATAATTATAATAAATAAATAATAGTTATAATAAATAAATAAATAATAATTATAATAAAATAAATAATTAATTATAATTATTTCAATATAAAATATAAAATGAATAGTTATTATAATAACAATAGTAATTTAAATAAAATGATAAATAATAATATAATAACAAATGGAAATAACGGTTATGAAAATTTGAAATTAAATTTCAGTCCATCTTCATCCTCATCCTCATCACCATCTTCATCACCAATACTACCAAATTTTAAAAATAGTAATCTCTTATCTTTATCAAAAGAATCACCTATACTATTAATAATTCATTCAGCACAATCACCATTATCTAACTCAGCTACACCAAATTCTAATTTATCTCCATGCTTACAAAGTTCGCTCCAAACTAACCAAATTGGTTTTCAACAGCTACAACTCTTAAATGATGATCAAAAAATAATAAACAATTCGCCACAAAAAAATAATACTATTTCTTTTTCATCACCAATATCAAATGACCTATCACAATTGGTACCTTCATTAAACAACTCTTCAAATAATTTAAATCAATATTTTCAAAATTCAAATATCCCCATACCAAAAAAGAACCCATCTGAATTAATAACTAGTAGAAGTCTTTTATGTAAAACTCCAGATTGTATTGTATGTGAGAATGGCCCACCTCCATCATTAGATAGAGGTCAAGTTCCAATTTGGTAAGTTAATTATATAAAAATTAAATCTTATATTTTTTATTTTTATAAATATTTATATTAATTTTATTTTTCAATTTTTTTAGGGCACAAATTTTACATGTAGCATTATTCGCATTAACAGAATCATCAAAAATTTCACAAGCCAAATTACAAAGTAATGGCGATAAAACCAATTTCCCAAACGGTAAACGTTATTTCCATTTAAGAGATGATATTTACGAATTTATAAATGTACACTGGGATATAATTTGCAAAAGAGAAAGAATTCAAAATTGGAAACATACAATTGGTATGACTTTAAGCCACTATCAAAACTTATTTCAAAATGGTTATCCAATATTTCAAAATACTGGTTATTGGTGTTTAAAAGATGATGCTCCCAATCCATATACTACAGACTTTATGGATAGCTCAAGAAAAAGAAAATATTCAAAAAAAAATCAACAACAACAACAACAACAACAACAAAATATATCAAATACAAACAATTCTAATAATAAAAATAGTGTAATAACTTCTAGTAATATAAACAACACCACCTATAATACTAATGGCTACAATACTATCAATAATACCAATAATACCAACAATAATAGTATTCATTTAAATGCCAATAATAACATTTTAAATAACACAATGAATATAAACAATAATGTAAATAATAGTAGTTTTTCAAAAATTAATTCAACATGTAACAATAGTGTATTTAATAATTCAAAAAAATCAATTTCTCAGTTTGGAAAAGGATCAGCAAGCATCTTAAATGAATATGACGACGATGACAATAGCTACAACTGGCCAAATAAAAGAATTAATTCATCAAACACAACTTTTTCACCAATATGTAATAAAAATGTAAATAATATAAATAATGAAATTAATAACAATAATAATAATAAAATCAGTATTAATGGATTATTAACTACTGATAGTGACCTATATAATATCTATAGTGAAAAATATAATACAATTTCAAAAGATTTATTTGAATGTAAAAAAGAATTAAAAGAACTTCAAGGTGAAATTTCTATTATCCAAAATGGAAAATTTAAAAATTAAACAATATATAATTGTTTAATAAAAAATGTAAAATAACAATTTTAATATAAAAACTAAAAATAAAATGTAAAATATAAATTCTATCTTTTTTAAACTACTTTTTTTTTTTACAATAAATGAACTAAAAGATTATGTGTGTAAACATCATTTAATTGGTTAATACTATTTAACCACATTTATTTAAACCTATCAAATAAAAATTATTTCTCAAAAACTATCTCATTTGGGAATTTCTTTAAAATTTGATACTTTTGGGGGTACCTTTTTAAGTAAATTTAGTAATTGAAGATATATCACTAAGATTAAATGTTTGAACAGAGATTTTAAAATCTGAAATAAATATTTGAACTAATTATTAAGTGCTATTTTGGTAATATAAAAATAATTTTTAATTTTTTTTTTTTTTTTTTACAAAATTTTTTATAATTTTTTTTTCATAATTTTTTTTTTTACAAATTAAAATTATATTTTTGCCGAATATTCATTTGAAAGCATTCGAATAAAACAGAATAAAAAATGGGTAATTATTTGATATATAACAATCATACAATAATACTATGCAGATCAATATTAATCACCTTTTTTTTATAATTTAGAATCAAAAAAAAAAAGACAAATTGAGGGCGATCATAGAAGAAGAGAGGATGTTAATAGTGACGATGACGATGATGATTTTGGTGAAAGTGGTGTTAAAATATATCCAGATGGTTCAACCTTTGAAAGAGCACCACCTGAAGAATTAGCAAAAAGAAAGCAAGTATTATTTTTAGAATTTTATTTGTTGTAACAATTATATTAATTATTTAATTTATATTCCATTAGAATTTTTAAAATGAGACCAAAGAATAAATCACCAACTACACCAACACCAACAATAGTAAATGGAACTACAAAAACTGACTCTACACCAAATACCAACCCATTTGCAAGTTTCTCAGTTAATGTCCCTACAACCACATCATCTACAACTGCAAATTCAAACCCATTTGCAAACTTTTCAGTTAATATTCCTACAACCACATCATCCACAAGTGCAAACTCAAACCCATTTGCAAACTTTTCAATTCCCTCAACTACATCAGCAACTCCTACAAACTCAAATACAGCTACAAAACTTTCAGGAGATTCTAAATCAGCTCCAGAAGAAAAAATTGATGAAAAAGTATCTGAAAAATGGGTATGTGTATGTTGTGAAGAAAAAAATGAAGCAACAGCCAAACAATGCTCAATGTGTTTTGCAAATAAACCAGCTCCAAAGAAAAAAGCAGAAAATAAACCAGAAATCAATTCAGCATCATTATTCTCCTCAAGTGCACCAATTACATTTAATACAGCACAATCTACAGCCTCATCAAATTTATTTTCATCAGCACCAGTAACCTTTAATACACAACCAACTACATCAGCAACCACATCATTATTTGGTAATGCAACTGGATTTAAATTCGAATCAACAAAAACAGAGGAAAAGAAAGATACAGCATCAGACAGTGATAAATGGGTATGTGCATGTTGTGAAGAAAAAAATGAGGCCACAGCTAAACAATGTTCAATGTGTTTTGCAAATAAACCAGCTCCAAAGAAAAAAGCAGAAAATAAACCAGAAATCAATTCGACATCATTATTCTCTTCAAGTGCACCAGTTACCTTCAATACCACTACATCAACCGATACACCATTATTTGGTAATGCAACTGGATTTAAATTTGAATCAACGAAAACAGAGGAAAAGAAAGAAACTGAATCAGACAGTGATAAATGGGTATGTGCATGCTGTGAACAAAAAAATGAAGCTACAGCCAAACAATGCTCAATGTGTTTTGCAAATAAACCAGCCCCAAAGAAAAAAGCAGAAAATAAACCAGAAATCAATTCGACATCATTATTCTCTTCAAGCTCACCAATTTCATTTAATACAACTACACCACCCAACACATCAGCAACTGCATCATTATTTGGTAATGCAACTGGATTTAAATTCGAATCAACAAAAACAGAGGAAAAGAAAGATACAGCATCAGACAGTGATAAATGGGTATGTGCATGTTGTGAAGAAAAAAATGAAGCCACAGCTAAACAATGTTCAATGTGTTTTGCAAATAAACCAGCCCCAAAGAAAAAAACTGAAAATAAACCAGAAATCAATTCAGCATCATTATTCTCTTCAAATGCACCAATTACATTTAATACATCACCATCAACCAATTTATTTTCATCAAATACACCTGTAACATTTAATTCAACAACATCAAACACCACTACAAATTTATTTGGTGCACCATTATCATCCTCCTCCACATCGCTATTCGGTAATGCAACTGGTTTCAAATTTGAACCAACAAAAACAGACGAGAAGAAAGATACAACACCAGATAGCAATACATGGATATGCAAAGCCTGTGAACAAAAGAATGAACTATCAGCAACTCAATGTGTATTATGTTTATCACACAAAACAATCGAAAAGAAAAAAGAACCAAAGAAAGAAATAGTTTTAGAAGAATGGATATGTCCATGTTGTGATGAAAAAAATGAAGCTGTAAACAAACAATGTAAAGGATGTTTAATTAATAGACCAAAAAAATAAATAAAAAATATAATAAACAAATAATATATTATTAGTAAAACTATATTATTAATAAAATAACCATTATAATATTATTATTTTTTCATATTATAATATTATTTTTTTTTTTTTAAATTATAAATTATATATTTATTTTTTATTTATTTAAAACTGTTTCTAATAATTGATTAATACGTGGAATCATTTCTCTATTATCCTCAATAAGACCGGCACTAGCAAAAGCATTATCGACAATTTGGTCAATAACCAATTTTGCAACAAGTGGATTTGAATCTTTTTGTTGGTGAAGTTTTAAGATAATTGGGTTATTCATATTAAATTCAACTTGTTGTTTTGTGGTTTCCATTGCTTTACCTGGTTCTAACATTTTATACATACGACGGAAAGTTGCTGATTCATGATCTATAACAATAGCTGGTGATGAAATTTCTCTTGTAGTTGCTTTGGCAGTACTAACTTTTTCGCCAGCAACTTCTTGAACCCAACTGAGGAATTTGTCAATATCAGCTTGTGAAAGGGTTTGATCTTTCTTTTCTTGATTTGAAAGAAGGAACTCTTCAGCTTCCTTTGATTCGACTGAAACAATCTTTTTATCACCAAAATAGCCAAGTTGACTAAGAACAAACTCATCAACTTGATTGTAGAGGAAAAGAACTTCAATACCTTTTAATTTGAATGGTTCATAATATGGTGATAATTGACCAACTGTACGATTTGGAACACTAACAAAGAAAATATGGTCTTGATTTGGTTTCATACGTGAAACATATTCTTCTAATGAGCAAATTTCATCTGCTTTATCTGATGTTTCGAATCTTAATAATTTTGAAATATCATCCTTCCATTTGAAATCGGTAATAATACCTTCTTTAAAGAAACCACCAAACTCTTTAATAAAGTTGTTATATTTGGCTGGATCTTTTTTAGCTTCTTCTGAAAGGTTCTTAAGGATTCTTTTAACTAAAACTGAACTGATTCTTTGAATAAGACCATTATCTTGGAGATGTTCACGACTTACATTTAATGGAATATCTTCACTGTCGACAACACCACGAATGAAACGTAACCAATCTGGTAAGATACCTTTAGCTTTTTGTTGAATTAAAACCTTTCTGCTAAATAATGAGACACCTGGTTCCATTTTACCCATACCATACTTTTCCATATGTTGTGATGGTACATAAAAGATTGAACGAATTGATAATGGTGTATCAGTTGAAAAGTGAATATGGTATGATGGAGTATCGTATGATTTGCTGAGGTATTGGAAGAATTGTTTATGATCTTCTTCGGTGATTGCATTTTTATTAAGAGTCCAAAGTGGTCTGATTGTATTAACAGCGGTACCATTTAATAAAATTGGGAAACCAACGAAACTGCTGTATTTCTTGATAATATTTTCGACTGTTGATTTTTTGCTGTATTCATATGAATTTGGTTTTAAGTGAATAATAATTTTGGTACCTCTTGAAACATTGTCAGCTTCAGAGATAGTATAACTACCACTACCATCAGATTCCCCAAAGATAACCCTTTGAACCAAGGGCAGCAGATTTGGTGTAAACTTTAATGGTGTGACCAACCATGAAACATGAATAGAAACCAACACCAAATTGACCAATAATTGAAGATTTATCTTGACTTTCACCGAGTTTCTTTAAAAATTCGCTTGAACCACTGTAACCAATGTTACCAAGATTCTTAATCATTTCTTCTTTGGTCATACCAATACCAGAATCTTGAATAATAAGAGTTTTCTTGTCGTCGTCAGTTGAGATTTTAATTTCGAATGGGATTGAACCTTCTTCGATAAGTTCTGGTTTGGTTAATTGTGCATGTCTAACTTTTTCCATAGCATCGGATGAATTTGAAATCAACTCTCTAATAAAGACTTCCTTTTCGGTATATAATGATTCTGCTACAATGTGTAAAATTTTTTGTGTTTCTGTTTGGAAATTTAATTTTTCGCTTAAACCAATGACTCTTTCATTTTCTTGAATTTTTTCTTCTGCTTTAATTACTTCATCTGGTGCAATTTCATCCTCAGCTTCAACTTGATTGGCTTGTTGTTGAGTTGAGAATAATCTTTTTTGATTTAAACCTTTTTGAACTAAAACACCACTATTTTGACCATTGATTGATTTAAAATTATTTGATCTTAATAATAATCTATTTGAATTATTATTAAATAACTTTAATGATCTTTGAAACATTTTTTAAAAAATAAATAAATAGAAATAAAATTAAATTTATCTTTTTCCGTTTAAATGAAAATAATAAAAATGAAAAAAAATTATAAAAAAATTTTAAATTAAATTTATAAAAAAAAAAACGAAAGAAAAAAAAAAAAAAAAAAAAAAAATAACGAATGAAATAAATTTCATTTAAATTTAAGTGATAAATAAATTAAAATTCAAATATTCACATAACAAATAGTAAAAAAAATTAATATTATAAAAATAATAAAGATGAAAAATAATATGTACACAGTATTTTTTTTGTTTTTTCTTAATTAAACTTTTTTTATGGGTATAATAAAAATTTATTAAATTTTGTATAGCTCCCAAAAAATAGGAAACAAGATTGAAATAAAAATTTAGAAAATTAGTATAAACAACCTCTATTAGCCTATTATTGGTTATATATCAAGCAATTCATTGTTTCTCTATTTAATGGAGTGTAAAAAGAAAAACATGGTTGAAGAGGGGTGGATAAAGTGTTTAGTAAACACGGTGTGATTTACCCATGGAGGTCTTGACGTATAAAGTCTTGATATTTTGCCAGCCTTTCTTTAAGAGGGAGACTAAGAAATTGATTGATTGAATGACGTTGGTGGCAATTTCTCTTTCAGTTAAACCGACGTGACCGACAGCAACAGCAAGACATAAGACTTTCTTAAGTTGGAATTTGACAGTTGATTTGACATCATTGATCTTTGAGGCCATATCTTCAGCGTGAGTTAAGAGGGTTGGGAATTTACCGACTTTATTTAAACCTGGACCTAAAAGTTTTGGAACTTGTCTGAGGATTGATTCTGAGGCAAGGAAAGCATCATATTTCTTTGATAATTTCTTGATGGCTTTCTTGTTCTTTGGACCGATTTTCTTTAAGGCTTCAATATCCATGAATTCAGCACCGATTTTAGTGGCTTCATCACAATGGGCTTGATCAGCAAAGACACAAACTGAGAATTTTGGTTTGGTGACAGTACCGATTTTGATTTGACCAGAGAAACGTTTATCTTTCTTGGTATCGTAGTTCTTTAAGTTGATTTGTAATTCAACAGTTTCAGTGAAACCACGTTTGGCTTCTTTGGCTTCAGCAAACATTGAAGCAACGATTGCTTTTACGTTGTCGCTACTAATTTTACTATATTATTTTAAATTTGTAAAAAACAATATTTTATATTAATTATTTTATTCATTATTTAGATATTTTAAAAAAAAAAAAATGGTATTTATATAATTATTATATATATTTTATTTTTTTTTTATTATTTATTATTATTTATTATTATTTATTATTATTTGCAAGTTGAAAATTTAAATTAAACCATTTTTTTTTATTTGTGTGTATGTATATTTACCTCATTTTGTATACCCGTGTGTTAAATAAAACAATGATAAAAAAAAAAAAAATTTTAGCTTTCGTATTTTTTAAAAAAAAAAAAAAATTTTAAAAAAAAAGAAAAAAAAATTAAAAAAAAAATTGAAAAAAAAAAAAATAATATGTAGGTAATTTTTTACATAGAAAAAAATTAATGCCCGTTGTTATAAATTAAACAAATAGAGAATTACCCAAGAACAACTCAAGTTATATTGTATATTTAATCTTTTTTTATTTAAATAAAATAGTTCATTAGATTTAAATATATTTTATAATAACCACCATTTTATTTTATTAATATTCTCAAAAAAATAATTAAAAATTTTAATATTTTTTTACCAAATATAAAATAAATTTCTTTTTTTTAATTTAAAAATAGGAATTTGTAAACATGTATATAAAGAAAATTAATGGACGAGATATATCCAAAATTTCTCTATTACTTTTTTAAACGTTTATAAAAAAAAAAAAAAAAAAAAAAAAAAAAGACGACCAAAATTTTTTTTTTTTTTTTTATTTTTTCTGTAACTTTTTTTTTTTTTTTTTTTTCTTTTCTTTTCGATATGCACACATATATGCAAAAAGTTATGACTTGAGCTTTTATGAAATGTAAGTCTATTCAACCAAAAAAAAAAAAAAAAAAAAACAATTCAACTTTATCAATTAAATTTTAGATGATGTATTCACAGCTCACACCAACCACAATGACGACAAACAAACTTGTTCCTTGATATATTTGCTGATTATATTTAAATTATAGAGTTTAAAAATTTTTTTTTTTTTCTTTAAAAAAAAAAAAAGATATTATAATACTAATTTATTTTTAATTATTATTTATAGGTTTTATTTAGTTAATTGAGAATTTATAAATTATAATATGTAAACTACTAAACATATGAGTTTGTAAGTATAAAATAAAAAAAATATAAAAAAAAAAGAAAATAAAAATAAAAAGTTTTAATGATGTATTCACAGCTCACACCAACCACGATGACGACAAACAAACTTGTTCCTTGATATATTGGCTGAATAACTTTTTTTATTTTCTTTTTTTTTCTTTTGTTTTTTTATAAATAAACATTGTTTACTAACTTTTAAAATTTTTCTAAATAGTTTTTATTATTTTAGGTTTTACTTTTAGAGAAATATAGCTTATCCTTTACTGTACATGAGTAATTTTAATTGTAAGTTTATCATTATTAAAAATCAACAAAAAGATATAAAAGTTTTTGATGATGTATTCACAGCTCACACCAACCACAATGACGACAAACAAACTTGTTCCTTGATATATTGGCTGATAAAAACTTTTATTTCATTTTAATTTTTTTTAAAGCAACAAATAAAAAATTATCAATATCCCATACTAACTTTTCTTTTTTTTTTTTTTTTTTAAGTATTTAGACGAAAAAATAATATAAATAAAATAATAAAAAATTATGTGAAATAATGTAAAAAAAATAAAATTTAAAATAGTTTTTTAAAAAATAATTATATACAGGTTTTTATTTTTTTTTTATTTTTTTTTTTTATAATGCTTTCTAACTGTTCTATTTATAATAAATAAATGATATAGTTAAAATTAGCATCACTATAAAATAGGAATAATATTTTGATAATAGTTGTTGTGAAAAAAATAAATTATTTGGTTGTTCGAATGGATAAGTTAAACTTGTGAAACTTTCTCTTACTACAAATTGTTCTTTGGATTTGTTTATAGAGTAAATAAATAAACCTAAATTTAAATCTTTTACCATCATGCTGTTGGTATATTCGTGTATAATTTTTTTAATTTTAAATGAATGAATTGGTTTAGGAATTATAATATTATTATTATTATTATCATTTATGTTTTCATTGTTGTTGTTGTTGTTATTATTATTATTATTAATTTGATTTTCGGGTTCTGTAGCAATATTAATAACTTCATTGTTCTCTATTAAATTATTACCATGGTTTGGTTTAAACATAAATTCGGCGATTGTAATTTGATATCTATTCCTATTTGAATGGCTCATTAGGCAACTTCTAAGGACAATTCTATAGACTTTAATTTCACCCAAAAATATTATTCTATTTAAATCATCGACACCATTAATCTTGCTATAGTAACAACCAGAATTACTGATAATTTTAATTTTTTTTAAATTTCTAAAATTCTTTATCTTTTCGTTAATATAGTCAATAAAATGATAGTTTGAAATGGTCTGATTGGTAATGAGTATTTCTCCATTATTATTATTGTTCATATTATTAATTTCGTTGGTTGAATTATTTTGACTATTATTAAAATTTATAACAAATGTATTGATATTATTATTAAAAAGTTTATATTTATTACTATTGATGTTATTACTACAATTTGGATTATTTAATAGTATGTTATAGTTAAAGTTATTGTTGTTTTCTAAATAATATACATTGAGATGATTTGATATATAATCGAAAAACCCTTTACACACCAGAGATAGATTCATTAATATTTCATTGGATTCTTTAATGAATGAGCTACCATTATTAAAAGAGTTAAATGAAATATTACTTCCATTATTAATGTGTTCACATATAATTTTAATTATATATTTTTTTAAATAAATTGGTAAGTTTGGTAGTATTTTATTTTCATCATTATTATCGCTATTATTATTGTTATTGTTACTATTATAATTTATATTATTATTGTTGTTGTTGTTATAGCTATGGTTATTTATTAACAGAGGTGATAAAATCGAAAGCTTTTTATAATTATTATTATTTTTAATACTATGGCTATTATTTATTATGTTCATATTTTAATAGTTTTTTTTTTATTACTATTAAAAAAGAAAAATTATTTTTGTTATTTATTTTTTTTGTTATAGTGGTGGTTTTATATGAAAATAATTATTTATTAATTAAAAAAAAAAAAAAAAAAAAAAAATTAATATTTTTTAATTTATTTTTTTTATTTTTTTTTTTAATTTTTTTTAAAATTTTTTTTTTTTTTTATAATTTTTATTTTTTTACTATCTATTTAAATTTATTTCTTTTCCTTTCATTTTTTACCTTAATATTTAAAATAACTAGAGTAAGTACTTAGAATAATGACCACGTAATACAAAAGGAATACTGGTTTCAAATAAAGTTATCAAATTTGTAAAATCAACCCAAATCAATTTTAACACCCACATTTATTATTTTATAGAATGTCAGATCCATTTGGTGATGAAAATATCGAATATACTGAAGAGTTCGTTGAAGGAGATATCAACGAAGCTGATTTAGTTGATGAACACGTTGAATATATCGATGAAAATGGTGTTTCACTCAATAGCTTTAATAACAACTCAAATTCAAATACTTTAGATTTTGAAACTGAAGATGTTAGCAATAAAAACAACAATAACAATAACGATTACTCAAATGACAATTCAAGTTTTTCAGCAGGTGCCAGCCACTTATCACCATCAAATAGAGAAACAGCACCAGCAATGAAGTAAATATCTTTTAAAAATTTTTAGATAATAAATAATAATAAATAATAATAATTATTATAACAATATTAATAATAATAATAATAATAAATATAATAACAGTAGCAATAATATTGATAACAATAATAATATCAATTAAAATAATATTAAAAAAAAATTTATTGGGTTATTAACATTTATTTATTTAATAAAGAGAATATTTAGCTAAACACGAAAAAGAATTAGAAGATAAACAAAAAGCTTCAGAAGAAAAACGTAAAAAGAAAATTGCTGAAGCCAAACAATCATTAGATAATTTTTATAGTGAACGTGAAGCTAAAAAGAAAACTGCATTAAAAAATAACAGAGAACACAATAAAACTTTAGAAGGTGAAGGTACCACTGGTGGCGAACACTCTTGGGAGTCTGTTGTTTCAATGATCGATTTACAAGCAAAACCAACCCCAACCAATAAAGACACCTCAAGAATGAAGGAAATTTTACTTCGTTTAAAAAATCAACCAATTGCATAAAATAACAATAAAATAACAATAAAATAATAAAAACAGTATTAATAATAAAAATATATTTATCAATCCAATAGTATTACAGTAATATTATAATAATTTAAATTCATAAGTAATCAATTTAAATAAAATTTCTTTTTTTAATCTTTAATACATTTAAAATTAGTCAAATAATATCTGGCTTTATTAATTTTTTTTTTTTATATGGTAAAAGAATTATCAACTCTTTCAACGATAATTATATATTGAGTTTTATTTATTTTTCTTTCAAAAACTTAATTTTTTTCAACTTTTTTCATTGAATTATCGCTTACCAACGACCTTTGAATTTCAAAGAATAAATATTCATTTTGAACTATAGACTGAAGCAAAAACCCCCAAACCTCAAGACCTAAAGCTAAAGTGGGTAGTCATAATAAATAGTTATAAAAATAATAGCTACATTACATTTAGGTTTAGGGAATAAAATAGATAATCAAAACTAATTAAAATTATATTAAAAAAAAAATTTTATTAAAAAAACTAAAAGGTATTTAAAGAAAATAATTTCATAAAATTTATTTTCATTATACTCATTACATTTATTTGTTGTCTTTTTTATTCACACACTACATTTATTTTCATTCTATTATCACTTAATCAACATTCTATAGGTATTTTGATTACACAGATACTGAGTTGGGCCCGCTTGGTATGTTTTTAAAATTTACTCACCCACTACATTTATTTGTTTTTTTTTTTACCCATTACATTTCATTTCATTCTATTTTCAATATGGTGGTTAATTATGTATTCTGCGTAGTGGGTATGAAAAAAATATAAATAAATAAAATAAATAAAATAATGGTATTAATATCATTTTAATATCTATCAAAATTAATTTAATGGTTTTGTGAAGTTTTTTCACACTAAAGATAATTAATAAAAACTGAATGAGGATAATTTTTAATAACCAAAAAAAAATAAAATAAAATTTTCTTTTTTTGGTTTTTATCTATGGATACTTTTAAAATCATATATAAAAAAAATAATTAGGAGGCAGAAAATTTTAACATTAAAAAGCTTTATTATAATATTATTTTGAATAGATTTTAAGACTTTTTTATTTATTTGTAAAAAAAAAAATTTATTTCAACGGATATTTTCCAATATTCCCAAATACGGTTTTTAAATTTAATATTCGATACTTTTATCGAATAAAAAATTTATTTGATAAACCTGTACGGTTCGGAGCTATTTGATACATACTATTTTAAAACTTTCATATTGCTCTAAAAGTTTTTTTGTATGTTCATAATTGGTTTCTTTTTTTCTTTCATCAAATATTTTATCGAGACCAATATACAATTTATTTTTTTCATTGTATTTTATTAATTTTTCAAATGAAAATCTATATAAATTTGCTAAAATTGAGATTCTGAAATGATAATATAAATGTTAATATCAATAATAAACAAAAATAAATATATATATATTAAAAATGAACAACTTACATCATTGAAATTAATAAAACAAATTGCCTTTTCAGACAAAGTGTTGGATGAAAGAACTTCATTATATAAAAAGAAAGCTAAAATGAATTCAATTATAATAAAATAGAAAAAAAATTTCTTATAAATATTATAATGAAAGGCCTTTGAGTTATTTATTTGGATCTCCAATTTAGCAATTTTGAATTCCATAGCCAATACTTTTTTTTCAAAAAGGTTATTCTGGTTACAAATAAAAAAATAATTAATATTTATTTTTTTTAAAATGTATGTTAAATAGATACTTACTTTTTTTGAAAAAATATTACCCTTTTTTTTAATTTACTTCTTGTAAAATTAAAAGAGTAAAATAAATAAAAAATAAATATATAATAATTTGATTATGAAATTTAATGAAAAGGAAATTAAAAATTAAGCTTTATTAATTACAAATTACTTTTGATTGTTAGCTTGAATTTAAAAAAAACTGAATTGGAAAAAAAAAAAAATTAATTTATATAGAGTAAAAAACTTTATTTTGAAAAAATAATAAAAAAAAAAAATTTAATAAATAATAATAAAAAGTATAATAATTTCCTTTGGTAAATATAATAGATTAGATCCAAACTCGGTATTCCCTTTGTATATTCTATTAAATTTTTAATCTGTAAAAGTAGTGATCAACCATTTATTTAAACACATCCCCCAAATAAAAAATAATTTAATTAAAAAAATTAAAAAAAATTAAACTATAACCCCACCACACACTTTTTTTTATTATTATAAAAAGTGGCCAATGTTTGGATAATGAATTAATAAATTTTTAAATTTTTTTCAATTAAATAAAAATGAAAAATACCAATTTTATAAACTATTGCAATCTGAATCATTCAAAAAAATATGATGTTGCGAACTGTTTAATTTAAAAAAAAAAAAATTTTAGTTTAATTGTAAATTTTAAGATAATTAGAGTTTTATTGTTGTTTTTATGCATTTAATAAAAAATCAACACCTTCATCTTCAATTTTAGTAAATTAAATCAAGGCGGAAGATTTGAATAAGATGCAGCAAGTGCCATTTTATATACACCAGAAACAATGGTAAATACTAGTGGAATTATAGTTGTAAAATTAAATTATTGTTTGGGTGTAATGGGATTTTTAGTTGGTGGTGATGTTGGTGGTAATTTTGGTTTTCAAGATCAACGTTTAGCATTACAATGGATTCAAAATAATATTAAATATTTTGGTGGTGATCCAAATGAGTATTGCCAAAGAAAAATATATGTAGAAAAAGTTTAAATAGTATACTTTTTTAAAAATTTTGTTGACAATTTACTTTTATTTTTACTTTATTTTTATTTTATATTTTTTTTATTTAATCTATACTTTAATTAGATGAATCAACAGTTCCTTTGTTTGATTCTGAACGGGCATAGTATTGTTTTATAGTTTTTTCTGTAATTCTTTTTAATAAATTTGGAGGGAAAGTACGTAAGCTATTTTTAAGGTATTTTAAAGAGTTTTAAGTGTGAAGATTATTTTAATGAATTGGGATGATTACAATGGAGTAGAGTGAATTGGAGTTGTTTTTATAATTTTTTTTTTTTTTTGTAAAATGGTAAAGAAAAAAATATGTTAGTTTTTTTTTTTAATTTTTTTTTTTTATAAATAAATTGAATACATACAGTGACCAACCTAAATCGAGTGAATTGAAAATATCTCTGTTTTCGTATGAACCTTGACCGACGAATCTACCTTCGAAACGTTCTAAAAATTCTAAATAAAGTTTATCTTCTGATGAAAGAGCTTCCTCACCAACGACGGCTTTCATAGCTTGAACATCTTTACCGATAGCATAGTTAGCATACATTTGATTTGAAACTTCAGAGTGATCACCACGAGTCATATCGTCACCAATAGCAGATTTCATTAGACGTGAAAGTGATGGAAGTACGTTAATTGGTGGGTAGATTTGTCTGTTGTGAATTTGACGATCAATGAAAATTTGACCTTCAGTAATATAACCAGTAAGATCTGGAATTGGATGGGTAATATCATCATTTGGCATAGTAAGAATTGGAATTTGAGTAATGGAACCGTTTCTACCTTCAATACGACCGGCACGTTCGTAAATGGTTGAAAGATCGGTATACATGTAACCTGGATAACCTCTACGACCTGGTACTTCTTCACGAGCAGCTGAAACTTCACGAAGAGCATCAGCGTATGAAGACATATCAGTTAAAATGACAAGAACGTGTTTTTCACATTGGTAAGCAAGATATTCAGCGGTGGTAAGAGCAAGACGTGGAGTAATAATACGTTCGATAGTTGGATGATCTGCTAAATTGAGGAAAAGAGTGGTTCTTTCCATTGAACCTGATTCTTCGAAATCTCTCTTGAAGAAAGAAGCAGTTTCCATATTGACACCCATAGCTGCGAAAACAATAGCAAAATTGTCTTCATGATCATCAATGACTGATTTACCTTGTTTCTTGACTAAACCGGCTTGACGACAAATTTGAGCAGCAATTTCATTGTGTGGTAAACCAGCAGCAGAGAAAATTGGAATCTTTTGACCTCTAGCAATTGAATTCATAGTATCAATAGCTGAAATACCAGTTTGAATCATTTCTTGTGGGTAAACTCTAACTGATGGATTAATTGGTTGACCTTGAATATCTAAATATTCTTCAGCAAGAACAGCTGGACCTTTATCGACTGGTTTACCAGAACCATTGAAAATACGACCTAAAGTATCTTCTGATACTGGCATTCTAAGAATATCACCAGAGAATTCACAACGAGTGTGTTTAGCATCAATACCAATTGTACCTTCGAAAACCTTTATAGAAAAAAAATATTAATAAATTGTACATTTTATTTTTAGATAAATAAAAAGATATCTATATAGATAAAAAAAAATAAAAAAAAAAGATTTTTTTTAACACACACACACAACACACACACAATAAACATAAAAATTTCCTTTTTAATTTTCAAAAATTTTAAATAAAACTATATCCAATTTTAATTTTAATTTTTAAAAAAAACTAAAAATAATATAAATCCAAAAAACATAACAATTGATTGATTTATATAATTGAATAAATTAAACCAAAGAAATTTTTTTTAAATACATACTTGGACAACAGCTTTTTTACCGCTGATTTCTAAAACTTGACCTTTTCTTTGAGTACCATCACCTAAAGTTAAAGTTACAATTTCAGAGAATTTTGGACCTCTGATGTTATCTAAAACAACAAGTGGACCATTAACACCAGTAACAGTTCTATAATCTAAACGTGGGTTAACTTGATAATTTCTGGTAACAGCTGCGATATGGTCTTCAAATCCTACCATTTTTTATTTATATTTATTTATTTATATACAACAACAAAGAACAAATTTAAAAAAAAAATAAAAATTTAATATAGGGATATTTTAGGTATATATAAATATAAACTAAAAAATAAAAAATGAAAAAATTAAAAAAAAAAATAAAAAAATAATTTTTTTTTTTTTTTTTTAAAAAAAATTTTAAAAAAAATTTAAAAAAAAAAAATTTAGAAAAAAAAAAAAAAATTCATATATAAAATCAATATGATACAGCACGAGCACCAGGGCATAGGATAAAGGGTAAAAAAGCAACTGGTCGTTTATAATGAAAGAAAAATAATAATTTAAAAACTTTTCTAATTACAATGATAATCAAACCATAAAAATAAAAAAAAAATAAAAAATAAAAAAAAAATAAAAAAATTAATTTAAATTTAGATATAATTAAATTTTGTTGGAGAATATTAATAAAAATATAAACAAAAAAAAAAAAAAAAAAACAAGAAATTTTATAACTAATAATAATAATAGCTATAATGAAAAAAACATAATAATATGGGAAAAAAAAAAAGAAATCATAGAAATATAGAAATATAGAATTATAGAAAAAAAATAAAATAATTAATTCGTTTTTTACCCAAAAAATAGTTCTATTTATTTTTAGTTTTATAAAATTAACAAAGTTTTATTGGATTAAATTTTTTATATCGGAATTGTTTTAATCATTGAATAATTATAAATATATAAATATATAAATATATAAATATATAAATATAAAAATATATCTTTTTTTTTAATTGTAGGTAATATAAAATTTCAATTTTTATGAAATTATATTACCTACAATTATTTTTTCCCCAAACCACATTTATGATCCTGGTTAAAAATTAAAAAATCAAAACGAAAAATTTTTTTAATTTTTTTTTTTTTTAATAAATATATTAATTTATTATTTTAACAAAATTTTTATTTTTATCCGATAAATAAAATATTATTAATTTAAACAAAAGAAATAAAATAAAGAAATACAAATATTTTTTTTTTTTTTTTTTTTTTTTTTTTTTTTTTAGTTTAAAAAAAATTTAAATTATTTTTTTTTTTAAATAAAAAAATAATTTTTTTTTATTAAATTTTTTTAAAAAAAAGAAAAATTTTAAAATTTTTTTTTTTTTTTAAAAAAAAAAAAATTTTTGGAAAAAAAAAAAAAAAAAAAAAAAAATTTGGCAATGGGTTTTTTTTTTTTTTTTTTTAATTAATTATTCTTGATATTTCTTAATTACTTTTTGTAGTTCTTTAACCTCATTTTTACAATCATCCAATTCTTTTTCCATTGTTTTAAATTTTTCGTAATAAAGATTGTTTGAATTTTCGTCAGAACTTAATAAACCACCGATACTAAAGTTACTACTATTACCTATAGGACTAGCACCTAGTTGTAATGGCGAGCTACAGCTTCCAATAGTTGGTGTCATCGATCTTAAGGGTGACGAGTTGAATAATGATTCCATACCATTAATCAAAGGTGATCCATATGATGGCGACGAGTTTAGTCTTTTGTTTGATTGAAAGTTATTGGCTAGAGTATTACCCATTACATTGTTATTTGCATCATCATCGTCACTACTACCACTGCTTGTATTTGAACTATTGGGATTGTTTTTGTTTTTTTTTGATTTTGAATATTTTCTTTTTCTTGAATTATCCATAAAATCGGGTAGTATATGGATTGGGAGCATCATCTTTTAAACACCAATAGCCAGTATTTTGAAATATTGGATAACCATTTTGAAATAAGTTTTGATAGTGGCTTAAAGTCATACCGATTGTATGTTTCCAATTTTGAATTCTTTCTCTTTTGCAAATAATATCCCAGTGTACATTTATAAATTCGTAAATATCATCTCTTAAATGGAAATATCGTTTACCATTTGGTAGATTGTTTAATTCTTCATTTGATGGGGATTTGTTTTGTGAGACTTTTGATGATTCTGTTAATGCGAATAAAGCCACATGCAAAATTTGTGCCCTAAAATTTAATAATTAATATAATTTTTTTTTTTTTGGGAATTGGGTATTAGAAAATAACTTACCATATGGGTATTTGGCCCTTTTCAAAAGATGGAGGTGGACCCATTTCACATACAATACAATCGGTTATTTTACAATTTATACATTTTTCAATTTTTTTAATATTGTTTTGATTTTGTTGAGTTTGATTTTGGTTTTGAGTTTGAGTATGAGTTTGTTGTTGGCTTTGAATTTGAATTTGGTTTTGTTGTTGTTGTTGTTGCTTTTGATGTTGATTTTGATGATGATGATGATGATGTTGTTGTTGTTGTTGTTGTAGCATTAGTTGTTGATGGCTCATTGATGATAGTAAATGAAGCCCATTGTTCGAGTTGTTTGGTGGCGAGTTATTTAAATGTGTTGGAGAGCTGGTTCTAGAAACATTTAATGGTGAGGAAAATGGGGATGGGGCGTTATTGTTATTGTTATAGTTATTATTGTTATTGAAGTTATTTGTATTATTATTATTATAATTCATTGAGTTGTTGTTGCCATTTATGTTTGTTTCATTAAAAGATTTTTTGTTACTTAAACAATTTATTAAATTGCTAATTCCATCACTTTGTTTACTTGGATTAAAGTTATTGTTGTAGTTATTTTGATTACTCAAATTTGGATTAAAATTTTTATAGTTAGGTGAATTTAAGTTATTATTATTGTTTACATAATTATTAAAATCATTTTTATTTTGAATTTGAGGTTTAATAGGGCTACTATTGGTACTGTTAATTTTAGGACTATTGTTCAAAGAGTCATTATTACTGTTGTTAATGTTATTATTATTAGATGTTGAAAAATTTGAATTTAAATTATAATTTACAGGATTTGAATTTGAATGTATTATTAAAAGTATAGAGGATTCTTTTGAAAGAGATAATAAATTTTTATTTGAGGATAACGATGGAGATGAGGATGAAGGTGATGAATTTTTTAAATCATCATTATAATTGACTGAGCTTGGGTTTAAAATTGACATTCTTTTTTAATAAAAACAAAAACTAAATAAATGATATTTTACAAAAATAATAATTTACAAAAAAAAAAAAAAAAAAAAAAAAATAAAACAAAAAAAAAAAAATTAACTATTGTTTATATTATTATATTTAATTTATTTATAATATTTAAATGAAATATAAAAAGAATTTAAAATTTATTTAAAAAGTAATAATAAATTGAGTTTAAAAAAAAAAATATTTTATTTAAAAAAAAACTTTAAAATAATTTAAAAAAAATAAATTAAATAAATTTACAAAAAAATACAATATATATATAAAATAATGATATGATTATATTAATAAAAAATCATATTTTAGAAAAAATAGAGATTAAATAGTAAACAAATACTAAAATAATTGAGATTGTAAGTTTGTGTTCAAAAGTCAAAAGGGACTCTCGGCTCACTTTAATCACAAAATAATTAAATCAGAGGGGTTTTTTTATTTTAAAAAAAATAAATTTTTTTAAAAAAAAATTAGTGTGTTTGTGTGTGTGTGTGTGTGTTAATATGGGGAATATAATTTATAATAGTATATATAATGTATGTAGGAATTGAGGGTGTGTATGTGTGTGTTAATATGAGGAATAGTGATATCTTTAGTATATTATAGACCCACAAAAAAAAACACAGTTATGATATATAAAAATATAGAATCGAACAAACAAAAACCAACAGTAAATTGTGTATATACAAAATTTAAAAATTTTTTTTTAGATTATAAATTTTGTATTTAAAGACAATTAGTAAACCAATAAAAGAAAAAAAAAAAAAAAAAATATAAAAAAAAAAAACAAAAAATAAAGTTTATAAATATCAATTGATAAAAAAAAAAAATAAAATTATATCAACCATTGCACCAAATTAAAAATAATGTTGTGAGTGAGTAGTTTGGTTTAAAAAATATTTTTTTTTTCACATTTTGTGGATATTATGCCCCCACTCCCCTTCTTAAAAATGTTGTGTTGATATAAAAAAAATTCAAAAAAGATTATACCACAATACATTTTTTGATAATAGCCTCAGCAAAATTGCCAAAAAAAAAAAAAATGGGGGTTAAAAAAAAAATTAAAAATTTTTTAAAAAAAAAAAAAAACATTTTTGTAAATTGACATCAATAAAAATGATAGTAGGTTCTTTAGCTTTTTTTTTGTGATACAACATTCAAATGACGTTTTTTTTCTTTCTAAAATCACAATGAATCTCAATTTAGTTGTTATTTTTTTTATTACTATTATTATAATAATAATTTACTTAATATTCAAACAATTCAAAAAAGTATTTCAATAGAACCAATTACATTACAATTCAATTTTAAAGTTTATTTCAGATAACTCTAGAATTTTTATGATATTGGTTGATATTGTTTATTTATAAAATGCAATACAATAACAATAACAACCACAACAATCAGTAACACTATCACTCCGCCCACTCTTTTTAATATCCAAAAAAAATAATTAAAAAACCCAACACCACATAAAAAAAAAATCACCCCACATACATTCCACACACTCACTTTATAAGTTTTGTCAGTTATTTTTTACTAATTAAGATAAACAAAACTATATTGATTTTATTATTTTTTTTTTTTTTTTAAATTTTATTTTGCACTACCAATATAATTGTTATCCTCTTTTTTTTATCCAAATTTTAGAATATCACTTGGATATTTTCCTTTTTTTTTTTTACCAAGTTATATATATATATATAAATTAAAAACTATATATAATTAGTCAGTTTTGTTGTGGGTATTTCTACTTTTTTTTTTTAATTTTAAAAAAAAAATGGGTTGTTACTAGTTACAATAACCAAACCCTTTTCGTGTTGTTGCCCATTAAAAAGAAAATAAAAAGAAAATCGATCATTATTTTTGTGGTGTTTATTTGATTAATTTTTACTTTCAAAAATCAAATTTGATTTATTAAATTTTTTTAATTTCTTTTTTTTTTTTTAATTTTAAGTTTATTAAAATTTTTATTAATCTTCTTTATAGTTTGTATATAAATATTTAAATATGTAAATATATACATAAAATATATATAATTTTTTTAATTGAATTTCACGGATGTGATCGTGTGAATTGTTTTTATTTATTTCAAAAAAAAAAAAAAATAAATAAAAAAAAAAAATTTTAATTTTTTTTTAAATTTTTTTTAAAAATTTTTTTTTTATTTTTTTATTTTTTATTTTTTTGAAAATCATTGCTTTTTTTTTATATAGTATTTTAAAACTATTTATATATATATATAAAAATGTTGAGTATGATTAAACAAGCTGGTACACCCAGCGATTCAAGAAGAGGTCAAGCCTTATTACTCAATATTTCAGCAGGTAAGGGTTTACAAAGTGTATTAAAGAGTAATCTTGGTCCACGTGGTACCCTTAAAATGTTAGTTAGTGGTGGTGGTGATATTAAATTAACTAAAGACGGAAAAGTTTTATTACACGAAATGGTATGTATAATAATAAACTAAAAAGAAAACAAGAAGCTATATTAATATGTTTATATTTTACAGCAAATCCAACATCCAACAGCAGCATTAATTGCACGTACAGCTACAGCTCAAGATGATATTACTGGTGATGGTACAACTACAAATGTTATCACTATTGGTGAATTATTAAAACAATCAGAACGTTATCTTTCAGAAAATATTCATCCAAGAATTATTGCAGAAGGTTTCGAATTAGCAAAAGAACGTGTCCTCAAATTTTTAGACGAATTTAAAAAAGAAGAAGACACCTTAGATAGAGAATTATTAATGTCAATTGCAAGAACCTCATTAAGAACTAAACTCACTGCAGAATTAGCTGATCAATTAACTGAACAAGTTGTAGATGCACTTTTATTAATTCACAGAGAAGATAAACCACTCGATTTATTCATGGTCGAAACAATGACAATGCAACACAGAACTGATGGTCAATCACAATTAATTAAAGGTTTGGTTTTAGATCATGGTGCTCGTCACCCAGATATGCCAAAGAGATTAACAAACTGTTTTGTTTTAACTTGCAATGTTTCATTGGAATATGAAAAAACGTAAGAACTATTTATAATTTAAATTCCAAACCATATTATTATTTACTAATAGTTTATTTTTTAAACATATTTATATTATAGCGAAGTCAATGCAAACTTTTTATATAAAGATCATCAAACTAGATCAAGAATGATTGATGGTGAACACAAATTAGTTGCACAAAAATGCAGACAAATTATTGAATTAAAGAACCACGTTTGCAATACACCAGATAAGAACTTTGTTGTTATTAATCAAAAAGGTATTGATCCAATTTGTTTAGATATGTTTGCTAAAGCAGGTATTTTTGCAGTTCGTCGTGCCAAACGTAGAAATATGGAACGTCTTACATTAGCATGTGGTGGTACAGCTATGAACTCACTCGAAGATTTAACACCAGATTGTCTTGGTCACGCCGATTTAGTTTACGAACATACTCTTGGTGAAGAAAAATATACTTTTGTCGAAGGTGTTCAAAATCCATTCTCATGTACAATTTTAATTAAAGGTCCAAACAAACATACAATCGAACAAATTAAAGATGCCCTCCGTGATGGTCTCCGTGCAGCCAAAAATACAATTGAAGATAAATGTGTTATCCCAGGTGGTGGTGCTTTCCAAATTGCAGCATATGCCGATTTAATGAAATTCAAAGAAACTGTTACAGGTCGTACTAAATTAGGTATCCAAGCTTTTGCTGATGCTCTTTTAGTTGTTCCAAAAACTTTAGCCGAAAACTCAGGTTTCGATCCAATGGATACCATTATCAAACTTCAAGAAGAATATGCCAAAGGTCACATTGTTGGTCTCGATGTCATTTCAGGTGAACCAATGGACCCATTCAACGAAGGTATTTTCGATCAATACTCTGTATTAAAACAAGTTTATAGATCTTCACCAATTATTGCTTCACAACTCCTTCTTATTGATGAAATTATTAAAGCTGGTAAAGGTATGAAAGGTTCATCTGTTCCAGAAGGTCCAGAATAATAATCGAAAAGTAATTTAAAAAAAAAAAAAAAAAAATAAAATTAAATAAAAAAAAATAAACAAAAATAATAATCTATAATAGTCTTTATGTATTTCATTTATTATGAAATTGTTTTTTTTTTAAAAAAAAAGATATAAACATTTAATTTAATTATAAATAGTTTTAAAATAATTTAGTTTTAAAACTAAAGAATTAATTCATTTTTATTTGTATGTAATAGTTCGTGGGGTGGGAAACCTACCAAAACTCTAATTGGTAAACTCCAATGGAGAGTATCTGCTAAAGGGGTTGAGCCATCTTCTTTTAATATTCCAATATTTGGGTGATTGAACATTCTCTTTTTTTTCGCTATTGAATGAGATGTACTATTATTTAAATTGCCATTATTTTGATTGGTAAAATTTCCACTGGCTGATAATGGTGTTGAGCTAATATGTAGTTTACTGTTGTTTGTTGATGATGAAAAATTACTACTTCCATTGCTTTGAGTATCGTCATTAATAATGGTATTTTCTGAATGACTACTTGCATCGTCACTATTTTCATCTCTTTTATTATTATTACCACCTCTTTTTTCGATATATTCATCATCATCGTCATCATTTCCATAACTTATATTTTCATTTGTATTTGATCCTTGATGGGATGATTGTGTATGATGGTATTGGTGTTGATTATGATGATCAAAGCTATTATTTCTTGAGTGATTGATTTCAAATGATTTACTTTTTGGTATATTGTTGTTGTTATTATTATAATCATCTAATAAATTTGAATTTATAATTTGGTTCTTATTTTTTAAAGGAGAGATATTTGGTGTATTTGGTAAAGATATAGAAATATTTGATGGTGGTGTAATCATGACTGTATTGTTATGGTTTGCTGATGATGATAGTACGGGTGGTTGGTAAGGTGTAAATTGTGATTTAATAGGAGTAATAAATTCGAATCTTAATGACCATTTAACAGAAACTAAAATTATATATAAGTTAGTAAACGAAACAAATGGATTTAATCCTAATATAGTTAAAACAATTACCATATTTAGTTGAAAACTCTTGATTTGCCTCTACAGGAATGTGAAATAAAAAATGAGTTTGTTTTAGATTTGTAGTAAATTCATGAAGCTCGCCATATAGTTTTCTAATTGGTTTGTTTGAACCTCTTGTACTTTGTAAATATTTTGAATCAACAGTCTCTTCACATTCTAATTTAATTAGTATTTTGTAGCAAGGTATAGTGGCAATGGAAAAGTCAAAAGTACCATGAACTGAATCACCCAAGCTAAATGCAGTTTTACAAATCGAAAATGTAGCAATTTTTTCTTGTCCTTTTGAAATAACTATTGAAACTGGTGATGAATGTTTATTTAATATATCGATAACCGACTTTTTGGTATTATTCGAATCATATTGAGATAGATTTTGAGGATATGGTAATGGAAAGTATTGTGATTTTTTAAATGGTGAAACAGGCCACTGTTTATCATTATTTTTTGAAGAAGATGATGAATTATACTCCTCTGTTGTTTCTGCTGAACCCTCTTCAAAATCAAATGTCATATTGGATTTATATTTGATGGGTCTGAGTGCTGAAGCTGGTGTTAATATTCTAATTGGTACTGTTAAAATTTGTGCTGGGTGGGTAAAAACCTGTGCTGCGATTGATAAAAAATAACTATATTTTAAACTTGTTCCTTTAAATGATGGTGGTAATGGTGATGGTAATGTTAAATAATAAATATCTAAAATATAAAAGCTTGTTAATATTATTTATAATTTATTATCGCTATACTATTATTATATTATCACCTACAAGACTTTGTTTGGCCTGGAGGTATATATAAATCTGATGCTAAAAATGTTGTTGGTGATGTAAATATAGGTTTACTATTTTCCCCCAATTCCGCTAAATTTGGTAAAGATGTTGCTGTAGAAACACCTGCTATAATTTTTTTATTGGTTTGAATATTCTTTTTTTTAATATCCAAGGAAAGGTCTTGTGATGCTGACTGTTGGTGTTGTTGTTGCTTTGTTTTCTTTTTTGACCTGCTTGATGATAGTTTAATAAACGAAGACTCCACCATTAAATTACCATATACTTGTGCTGTTATCCATGATATGGTTTGCTTTGATTTCTCATTATTATCGTTGTTATTATTATTATTGGGTATTCCTAAATTTGATATAAATACACGACAGAATATTGTATCACCCGGAAAAAATACAGCTGATTCTAATATACATTCTATTGAAATCGGCATGTCTCCAATTTGTTTTATCTCTTTGATTTATAAATAAAATATTTTTTTATTTTTTTATTTTTTTATTTTATTTTAATAATGAAAGATTTTTAAAATGAATAAATAAGATAAAAAATAAAAAAATTTTTTTTAAAAAATAAAAAAATTAAAAAAATTAAAAAAATAAAATTAATTTTTTTATATGTTTTCAACAAAAAATATAATGAAGATATTCATAACTCATAATTCCTTTTCTAAACAATTACTACTTCTTTAAAAATGTTAATTATTTATGAATTATAAATTTAAATAAAAAATAATAATAATAATAAAAAAAATAAATGAAAAAATAAAAAACACAAATAATGACCCAGAGAAAAGATAAACCATTGTTGAAATATTATTATTTAATTAAAAATTATGTTCCTTTATCCAACCTGAATAATTATTTAGTTATTTATTTATTTATTTATCTGGGGAAAAATCAATTTTTTTTTTTTTTTTTTTTTTTTCTTTTATTTTTTTTTTTTTTGACCGTTCACCAAAAGTTAATTTCTTTTTTTTTCTTTTTTGCCAATTTTCTGGTTTTTAATTCCAGTTGTGAATAAAAAGAATCTGGTGTTAATATTTATTTGTAAAATAATAATTACATAATCCACAATCAATTATTTTTTTTCGTTTTTGTAAAGTTCATTCTCTCTTTTTTAGCAAATGAAAATTAATTAGATATTTGTTAAGATGGGTCCCATATTTCCCATCTTTAAAATTCTTTTTTTATATTATTTGCAATTGATTTGTTTTTTTATAAAGTGGAGTGATTACGAAGTGTTGTGCATCATGTGATTCCAAAATAAAAAATAATTTTTTTGACTGTGAAAAACAAATATTCCAAAACAATTTAATTAATTTTTTTTTTTTTTTCATTTTTTTTTTTTTTAAAAAAATAGTTTCTTTTTTTTAAAATTGTGATTGGAACGCCAAATCATCATTTTTTTCATATTATCAATATCATTCACTCTTAGAAAAACACTGGGGTTATACGTTCAACCAAGGCCATCTTAATCTCAGGGTTTCTAAATAAAGAGCTATTGTAAATATTTTATTATAATTTTTTTTTTTTTATTTTTTTTTTTTATTTTTTTATTAATTTTTTTATTTTTTTTTTAATTTTTTTTTTTCTTTAAACTAAAATTTTTATTTTTATTTTTATTTTTTTTTTGGGGATATAAATACTTTATTATTAACCCAACATTAATATTACATTCTTTCAAAAAAAAAAAAGAAATAAAAAAGGAAAACTTATTAATTTTATTTTTAAATTTTTGTTTAATTTTAACCACCGAGTCTTCTCTCACACTTTTTAAACTCGTTAAATATTTAAAGGAGTTAATTTATTTAAAATA